CAGTACCAGTACCAGTATCGGCACCAGCACCACCATCAGCAACAGCATCAGTACCAACAGCAACTTGCCATGATCACTTTTAACCCAAAGTGTTTTTTGTTTTTGTTTAGGTTTTATTTTTATGTAATAAAAAACCTTGTAGTAACAGTAACAACGCTATATAAACAATACCAACAACGGCAGCAGCAACATGTCGATAGTTGTTAATGTTTATCTCCTGACAAAACATACAAAAAGCAAAGCTCACCCAAAAGCTTTATAGATACAACATATTTTGTCAGATGCAAAAGAATTGAACATATGAATTTGGCATGATCAACAGCAACGGTAGCTGCTGTTCTTATTGCTGTTACTGTTGAAATTGTACATGTTGCTGCCGCTTCAATGGATTGCAGTTGTTGTAGCAGCAACATCATCAGCAGCAACAGTAGTAGTTTCATGTCAGCTTATTTAGGTGAATACTCACTCATATATGTTCGCATGTGTATATATGTAATATATTGTTTTGTATCGTATCTGCTTCGTGTATTTGAATTATTTTGCTGTGGTAAAACGCATGTATTTTATAAATTTTATATTGTTATCACGCGTGTACTTCAATCTGAACATTATAGAATGCATATCACAATATAAAAATCAAATCACGCAATAAATGTGTTTCAATTGCTTTACACGACTGCGATGAGCGAGCGCGTTGCTGTTGATTGCATGCAATATACAATGTTGCAGGGTTGCATTGCAGTCAGTAATAGAAAAATTGCATTAATGCATAAATAGTTATACTTGTAAAATTTATTATGTTGTTGTACATATTTTTATATTTTTACTATTGCTAAGTATTTACATTTTATTTTTATGTTCTTAACACAAACTCAAGAATAAAATTATTATGACTAATATTGCATTTAACAAACACACAGTTTGTAAATTTATTACCGGAAATTCAAACCCATTTTATGCTTAAGGTATTCAAAGATGCTGTCTACATTCTAACTGATAAAAATAAGTAAGTATGTAAGTATTTTTATAAATACATTTTTTCTATTTTTTTATTTTTTTCCCAACATTTTTGAAGTAGAAAATTTTATTCATTCAAAAAATGTTGTTGAATTTTATTGAGTTTCGTTGCAAGAATGAGCGAGTACCACAATACCAGCAGCAGCACCAGCGACAGAAATAACATTTACTGCAACAGCAAATTCAACGACCAGCAGCAACATTGGCAAAATAAACCAGAGAACTGATATGTGCAGATATTGTAATTCAATATTTTCTACTCGAAAAGGTAGTAAATACAATTTGCTAAATAGCTTGTATCCTGAGAATGGACACAGTTCTTTTGTGCATTTATTTTGAATTTATTTTGTATTTTAAATATATTTTAATGTGTTGCAAGTATACTGCAGAACGCACTTTGCTCAGACATACCACATGCTGTGCACTTTACCCAACCAACACTCTATTGAGGTTGCTGTTATGTTTATTGTTGTATTGACTCGAGATTGATGCTGATATCAACCGACCAACAATATTTTATTTCTTATTTTGTTTCATTTTTTTTTTTTGCTTTTATTCTTATTTATTTTTCCGTCTTTAATATTGGCGACACCAAATTTTTCCTACATTTTTATCTTTGCCACAAACAATTTTTAGATACTATACTTATTTTATTATTTTCATTTTACATGCTGCAACCATAGTTTTCATTGTTTTTGGTGCCAGTGTGTTTATCTTAAACCAACAGAGCAGAACACTAATTTTTTTTAAATTGAAATGCATCACAAATAAAATTGTTTAACTAACATTGTTGGCAGCTAATAACAGGTATACTGAGGACAAATCACCATTTAAAATTGACATTTACCGTAATATAATATTAATTATTCGTAGTACATACAGCAGAGTGAAAAATATTTGATTATTTTTGACCTATATATATTTTTATTATATAATAT